ACTGAAATTTATAATTTTTGATACAACATTTCTTTGGAGACTGTACATGTACATGATTTTCAGAATACTGCTGCCCTGCAAACCATCTGTCACCGCACACCACACAACCATCCAACACAAAGACAAAGACCAATCACCAAATCCCAATCAAGTCATAAAAATTTCAACAGGGCAAGACCTCAGTCAAGAGAGCAAAATTTTCCTTTTAAATCATTCACCTACTTATTTTTTAAATTATCCATGTCACGCACGTAATCACAGAGTTTGTTCCCAAGATACAAGCATAACAGGCTGAACAGAAAGAAAAGATAAAAATAAGGCTCCTGGAGTTTTAAATAATTATAACAGAGGAACAGACCTTTTCTTTGCTGGACAAAGTTGGGAAAAACATGAGTCAGATTAAGGACTTAAAGGAAAGAAAGTACCTTGACAACCTAAGTTTGTAAAAACTTAAGAGGACCACATATAAAAGTATGTTTCCTGCCAGTGAGGAATGTACTGAGCAAGAGGCCGCAAGATGTAGCCAACAAGTGGCAGATTATTTGAAAATCCCTCCAACATTCTGTTAATGCGTTTTTGACTGTATTTCTCATAGAAAGGTGATCTAAGAATATAAAGCAGAAGAGCCACTTCTCTCCTGGATAATTCCATCTTCTGTCTTGGAGACAAAGTAGATGGACCATTTTGCTTTTTAGCTCTTCGAAACATATGGAGACTGAAAAGTTAAAAAAAGACACTTAATGAGTTATAAAAATTTGAATTGTTATAGAAGATAGCATGATGAAATACGTCCTACCTTGCCACATCCATAAAGAGAGATAATATGTAAGGTCTCCATGCTTTTGGCCCAAAGCGAAGCATTGAACATAAATGAAGGACAGGCTTCACAATATATAAGGTCTAAAACATAAAAAATGTATGTGAGCTGATGAAAATCATCATGGTTAGTTGTAGAACAACAAGATCTTACCTCTGCCAAAAGCAGATTTTGGTCAAGTGGTCTATCTGGAATACTACCGTCGGGAAGAGTTGTTGTGAAAGCTGGTGGCTTCCATGACCTGAGGTGAGTTGGGGAAGCTGCACAATTTGGGAATTAAGCTTTACATCTATATAATGTTTTACTAATCCATACCTCCGACTTTGTTCAAAGAAGTTTAAATGGAGCACTTACCACTGTTAACACACCGAATAATACGTCCTGACTTGAGGGAAAAACCTATAGTAGCAGGACTATCTTGACTATCTTGCTTTGAAAGCAGACGCCGTTTTAATGGGGGAATAGGCGGCATCTGAACAATATGCTCCTTGTGGGTGAATAAAAGTATTAAACGTCCAATACACCTACACAAAAAATGAAAACAGAAATGAATACATGCTTTGTAAAAACAACAGAAAAGGAACATAGGAAAATAATTTGAACTCACTTGAAAGCTTGAACGAGACCAATAAGAATCCACCTTCCCTTTTCCCCCCATACACTTTTAGCTGTAATTTCTAGGAAGACTTCTGCATATTCAAGAACAGTCAGCCAAGTTTTCAATGTCGAACCAGAAGTGAGGGGAAGAGTTCTTCTCGACTCATTTATAATGCAATCGTTGAAAAGAACAAGCAGGTTGGACATGGAATACACCAGCTCTGTGATTACACTGGAATTCTGAATACGACCTGGGAGACCAATCACACTTAGCATTAACAATTCACACAGATAAAGTACCGATGCAAATGCATGCATGTCTACTAATAGATTTCCAAGAAATGGTACTAGAGTAAATAATTAGCTAACCTGCAAAAATGTATGATATCCACTTTGCAGACATTTCAAAGTCTGAAGCCATCAGCGGATTATCACCAACCCATTTTTTGTACGAAAGGTACAGTTCTTTAAGAGATGTCGACATACTGATGGATCGCGTTTTCCTTTCAAAAAATCATCAAAAGACACAGAACTGCTCTGTCACCAAAATACAACAACAAAAAACCATGGGCTTGGCTATTTGGCGTCTGCACTCCCTTGCCCCCCTCCACCGAGCTCACGTTAGTCATGTGTTTGTTTTCAAATTTCTCCCGCAGCCGCGCCGCCCCGCCAAACGCCAGCCCAGCACGTAAATAACAGAAATGGCGTCGTCTCAAGACGCCTGGTATCTATCTCTCCTCGGTCTGGCTGAAAACTTTCGAACTTCAAGTCCGCCGAACATCAAACTTTGTATTCAGTGCTTGCAAGCCGTGTTCCACTTTAAACCTCCTCACCGAGTGGAGGCGAGGACACACCTACAGCTCGGAAACATTCTTCTCCAACACACGAAAAACATCGACTTGGCTAGAAATCATTTAGAACAAGCGGTAAGCGTTGTCCAGTTTGTTTGTGAGTGTGCTGGGCGTATTATCAATGAACAAGTAGAAATTATTAGCTGAGAACAGCCTTAGTGAATCTTGGGTCCAGTTACAACTATGTATATGTACGACATAACCTTCAAATCCATCAGTGGACTGCATAACTCCCTGACAGACTTTGAATGGGGCTGTGAGCCTCCATTCTAAGCTTATGACTCTGTTTAAACATTGTTGGCCTTCTCAAGTACCAAAAGAAGATATGGAGTTGCTTCCTTCCGCGGTCTACCATTTACTCTGAATATTTACATTAAAATAATTCATTGACTTACAGAAACTGTCAGTATTTTCTTGTTCATAAGAAATATGTTTCGATTATAGTATTCAATGCTTCTTTTAGACTGTTTAGTGTTAGCTTGAATTATTGCATCATTGTTTTGTAAGTTTTAATTTGAAATCTTTCATTCATTGCAGTGGTGTCTATCTCAAACTATCAATGGTTTCGACGATGTCAAATTTGAGGCAGCAAGTGTTCTGGCGGAACTGCATGATCAGCAACAACAATCTAATCTTTCTAAACCAATCTTACGTAAAGCCATTGAAATTTCTCAACATAGCAATTACTGGCACTGTCGATTGATATTTCAGCTAGCGGTTAGTGAAATAAACACACAACACTTTAAAAAAACTGCCCTAAATGTTTTGCTATTAGGTACTCATGTATGATCCCCTATTTTTTCAGCAAATACATGCAAGTGAATGTGATTATGAACTTGCCAGCAGTCTTCTTGGAGTAGGAGTAGATTATGCCCACATTCAGTCTGCTGCATACACACGAGTTCTGTTTCTTCTTAGTAAAGGAATGGTATGCTAATGTTTCGAAATTACTTTTTTGAAATGGTCTAAAGAATGTCACTTATTTTAATCAGTTACTTTTCTTAAATGCACTTTAGCTTCTATTGATCGATAAGAAGTACAATGAAGTCTTACCCCTACTGAATCAAGCTGGTCTTCTTGTGGATAGCTGGCAAGGGAACCAGTTCCAAAAAGAATATTTAAGAGTATTCTTCCTTGTTTTACAGGTACTTTTTCTTTATTAT